TTAAGTTAAAAATCTACCCAAAGTATTTCAGGATCCTCGCCTGGTGCTACAGAACCTGTGCACTGTGCTGAGCTTCTTCGGACTCAGACTTGAGTCAGAAGAAGAGCGGAGCACTTATGGGTTACTACCAGTGTGCCATGATGTTGATCCGTAGTTCAAACCTCATAACTTCAACTTGCTTGAGTGTGCTCTTGTACAGGTTATGTAATGTAGCCACGCAATCCGACCATGTGTTTCTTTGTTTTCTCGAGCGACTTTCTCATTAAGTTTGTCAATATGGGACTCATTTTCAAATTGGTTTTGTCTGCTCATAAAACAGTAACATTTCTCCGTAAAATGGCAGCTGTTGTTATTAAAAAATATTTGCATTATGCATAGCTGCCACGGTAGAGGTGTTAGTTCTTTTGCCTTCCAAGATCGCAGTCCAGGTTCATCCTCAGAAGTGACGGGATTTTTCCCGACAACTGTGGCTCTAGGATCGAACCGGCCTCATGCAAGTTGCTCTCTGAATTATAAGAACGTGATACATTTGTCCAAACCAACACAAAGCATTAAACACAAGATTATTTTTAATTGGACAAATAAGAAGACATACGAATAATCGAGCACCCTACAAAAATGTTTATCCCTGACAAACTTTATCAAAGAAAGAATACTGAGATGACTTAGACATGTTTGTTGAATATTTCGTCACATACTGGCAAGGGTATCTCTCCGGAGAACAGTAAATGAAACAATGGACACTGGCACGACAAGGTGAAACAGGGAGACAAACAGTAGAAAAATAAATAAATGAGTGTAAACTTACAGGGAATACCATGAGCAGAGAAGCAGGAGATTGACAACAATGGAGATCACACGTGAATGCCCTTCGTGCCAACAACAATATGTAGAAGATACAGATATAGATGGATATAATTATCATTGGGTGTGGAAGTAGGTCAAGTTGTTTGAGACAGGTGATAACACAAAGAGAACTTGTTAGATGTGCTGACATAGTTATCCTACAAACAAATGTCGGCGGAACTAATCTAGATCACTGGAAGTTAAATTTAAATGTTACAAGTCGAGAGGATCGGCTTCATTGCTACGGGTTTAATCCCATCTGGCTGGGTCTCTCTCCAAAGAGCAACTAGCCACCTGCAGAGAGCATCGCACAAAGCACAAACTCCGTAATCCCGACAACGAACCCCATAGATTTGCCGCAGCATTGAAACGAACCGACGACCTACAGTGCGCGAATCCAACGGCTCGACTATTTCGCCATGGAGACCCCTCCCTCTACCCCCTCCCCCTCTATGGAGTCATAGGATTTGAACATGCAGCCTTCTAATATGGAGTCAGACGCACTGCCGTTTGGTCTAGATCTTCCTAAATGACACCTGCAAGTATTGTTGTGAGGTAACGGATCGCTTGTGACACCAGATATGACACATAACAATGGGTCAATCACAGGTCATCCCGCACCTACAAGTTGCACCAACTTGCACCGTTAATCCTCCTGTCATTGTCAGTTATAGCCAGCTCTCTCTTTATGCTACTTTTATGCTGGCTATTAAAGTCGTTGAAGATCACCTTGAGTACTGAATTTCTTCTCTAGCCCAGGGTTGCGGTAACTTAAGACAGATGTTTTCATAAGGCAGCCATTGGCTTGCATTTGTTCTTTTCAATGTTTACGAGACCTTATTTCTAGAAATAGAAAATTAAGGGGGGGGGGGGGGACCCCCTTGACCTATAAAAGAGTAAGAACAACACATTAATGACTAGAACGTTTGGAATTAATGCTATAGCAAAGAATCACACTGTAACTGTTTCCCATTGTGAACGACCATTATAGCTGTTTTCTGTCTTGAATGGCCATTGTATCTGTTTCCCATCTTTACCATTTTACGTGTTTTTTTTTTCCTTTAGAACCACATTTTTAATATTTCCCATCTGGAACAATCATTATAATTGTTTCTCTCCTAGAACGATCATTTTAACTGCTTCCCTTTTTTTTTTTCACTGTTTCTTACTTTCCTATTTTAATTGCTTTTTTTTTGGAAGGGCCGTTATAACGGTTTCTCATCTTGAACAACCATTTTAACTGTTTCCCTTCTTGAACGACCATTTTAACTGCTTTCTATTTTTAAGGGCCGTTATAACTGTTTCTCATCTTGAAGGACCATTTTAACTGTTTCCCATCTTGAACGACCATTTTAACTGCTTTCCATTTAGAACTACAGTTTAACTGTTACCTATCTTGAACAACAATTGTGACAGTTTCTCCTCTTGAACGACCATTTGAACTCTTTCCCTTCTAAAACTATCATTTTAGCTACTTCAAAGTTGGAACGACAATTTTTAACTATTTCAAGTCTTAAACACCCATTTTGACCGTTTCCTATTTAAAATCATTATTTTATACTGTTTCCAATCTGCAACTCGGGGAAACCGCGGCCTTGCAAATAGCTACCGGGTTTTTCTTCTTCTTCTTCTTCTTCTATCTCTGCCTTGTGGTGTTGGTATCCACAACCTTCTGTTTCGTGTACTTTCATTCAGGTCAGACACAGATGATCCTCCATGCCGTGATGCCAAACTATCCAGCATCTTTTCTCTAGGTCTCCCTCTGCCTCTTATCCCCTCCAGTTTTCTCATCGCCCGGACGGTCATAACATAAAAGGACTAATTAGGTGTCAAGTGGCAGGGAAATAATATCCTTAGGCTGGCTACCTACACACACATACACGCACGCACTCACACACACACACACACACACACACACACACACACACACACATACACACACACGTATTTATTCAAAGAAGACTTAATTGTTTTTATTGCCGTTGTTATGTTGAAAAATTATTATATTTTCAGGCACTGAACCTAAGGACGTACCAGAGAGCAGTATTGATGATGTGGCCACGAAACTCGATCTTGCGGAAACAAACGCCACATTCATCATCCCTGCATATCAAGACACGGGTCATACCAAAGGTTCGGAACTTCCTAGGGATTCTGTCGTATCCAACTTAACCGATGCATTAGGAAATGCGAATGTCAGTAGCATCGATATGAGCGGGAAAAACATCAATGATACATCGAACAAGACCGATGACCTAGTAGGAATTTCTTACACAGAACGATCAGCTGGCAGGAGGTTGGGATTATCCCGCTACAAGAGCGGTAGGCAGCAGGTGAGCATTGGTGATCTAACGATCTCGGACCACGCCCCGCGACATGGTGCTCTCCTGCACAAAAATGATAAGATCGATACTCTTGCCGTCAAGGAAGAATCTGCAGTGGGGGATGGAGATAACATGGCTAAGAGAAAAAGGCGGATACCTTCTTCTTCCGCAACACCATCGTTCCAGATAGTGATCTTGGTTGTTGGAGCAGTGGTTGGTTGTCTTTTGCTGACCGGATTTGTAAGGTGGCGTGTGAGAGGGAGACTAAATGCTAAAAAGAACGCCAAGATCGCTGACGATTATGTCTACGGAGATGGGCGAGTGTATAAGGGCAGTACTGAGATGAGCACCATTTATGAATGTGAGTTTGAAGAGAGCCAGAGCATGCTTCGTTTGAGCGAATCGCTCGATGTGGACATGAATGACTTCCAAGACGATCATGGAACTAAGTTTGGAGACAATTATGGCTCGCAAAAATTCAACATGCCGCTGTCGGCCACGGCCCGTGCATACCATACCAAACATAGTGGTCGTCAGGCCCAGCCAAGGTCTCCTAAAAGTGGCCGCCACTTCAGGCTAGTTCCAGGATCAAAACGGAGCAGCATGAATCGGCACAAATACGGAAACAAGAATAGATACTCCAAACATCTCAAGAGAAGGCTGGAGAACATGTTTGTTCAGACTTTGGAGACCATCCCTATGGAAAACAGTACATTTGCAGCTGAACACTGGGACAGTTTCTCTTCTGAACTAGGAAACAAACATGGCATCAGAAACGTGTCTAGTGAACACCTTGCTGCGACATCATTGCAGCAACCTATCCCCATCAAGCACGGTTCTCCGACATTTCGAAGAGGCGCGTTCGCTTCCATACTTAACACGTGGCGCTCTCTTTCATTCAACCGGGACTGGGTAGGAAAGATGTGGCAGGAACAACACAACATCCGCAGACTCAGCGACATCCTCCGCGGCCGGAGAGAGAGTAGCAGCTCCAGCTCTAGCTCCAGCAAGGATAGTGACGCACAGTCCAGCCGGCTGTCTTCATCTAGAGAATCATTATCGTCAGCGTCCAGCTTTGGGTCATTCTTCAAACGCAGAGGTAATAGCATCACTGACAGAGATACACCTGTGTTTGATTTCTTCGGGAGAAACACAGCTTCTGGAAAAGCTTATGAGCAGAATGGACGCCTGTTTGCCATTACAGATGCCAGTGAAACTGCAGCTTCCAGTGTTTCTGAACACAAAAGCAACAGTTCCAGCAGTGCAGGTTTTACTACAGACACGACAACACCAGCAACGTCTTGCCCAGAAGCGCCAAAACATGATCCGTTTATCAGCTGTCATTCGTACAGCGATCTTTTCGAAGAACCTGCGGAATGTGAAAGTCTCCTCAGTAATTCACTGCACTCGAGTACTGTATCTGCTCGAAAGTTCGATGAACACCCGCGATACCAACGAATCCATCAGAGGAAACGAGTGGAAGGCAGAAAGAGGGCCAACAGTTTCAACGGTAGCACTCCCATTTCTGATCGTTTCTGCCCTTACGGCAATATGTTCAGCCAGGATGATTCCTTACAGTCATTTAACAGTTCTCACAGCCAGGTACACGCTGACTTTGACTTGTCAGATACAAAGCTGGACCACATGGAGGAACACAATGGGAATCATACCTCTTGTCCTAACGACTCTAGCTGTAGCTTTGTTTCATCATCCGTGTCGCAAAAACGGAGTGTTGCTGATGAACATCTTAATGGTGCAGGAACTGAACGCACGACGTTCAAGTTGCGAGGTGCCGACCACAGCGACACCAAAAAGCCGTACCTAGCATGAGTTTCCAAACCTGCCAACGTCGCTATGTATACTGCAGAACAAACAGTCACACTCTACACTGCAGATATGTCTAAAAGATCATGTTTGGTTCCTTGAACATTATGACTTTTTGTAACAAATGCGCCTATTGGCTGTAGAACTGATAGGTAATCGCAGCTATTTGGTCAGTAAGTACACACCGTGTAATAATTTCTTTTCGTTTTCTGGAGGAACGCATCATAAGAAAGATGAAGATCCATCTTGTGATTAGTTTCAACATCTTACACGATGGTACTTGTAACAACTGTGTAAGCACTTTCGTTGATGACCCAATTGTTACAGCTGTTTTTCATGGTGTACGTACGTACCCCAGCAGATGAGTTCCGATCGTATTGTTATCTGTTGGCATTACGATGATAAAACGAAAACTCAGCGATATTGACTGTTCCGTGCTGCAGGAAGGAGATAATGAGAAATTACTAAGCAGGGTTGATTCTCGAAGAGACAGTATCTGGATACTGGATTTTAGCATCCACTTCTTGGTTCATTGAAACTAGCTCTTTGTGACCTAATATAATTGCCACGATACGAAGAGGAGAATCTCAGTTCATGACATAAACTCTGTGGGTAGCTCAAGCGAAGATGTTATAGCGTCTATTCCAGCGCCTGCACGTGCTATAAACACATGTTGTGGATTCATTTATATTATTGTTCTAAAATACTTACAGGATAGAGCCTTTACGTAACGGTTTTCACACCGACGATGGATATTTGATAGTCCATAACTTAGACACAGAATCACTTATTTCTCGACCGTTTCCTTCCAGCTAGAGATAGTCGAGGGGAAGTAACATTATCTGATTTCTGTGACAAAAACTGCAAGAAGCATTGCGACCACCAGGGTTTAAACAACGACTTTTCAGTCAGACACACACCATACTTCCAAGCTATTCTGGACCTCTGGCATCTTACATAAACGATGGATAAGATCAGCACAGCGCCGGGAAGGATACTTTAATGTTCACATATGGTTTCTGGTCCTTGGCGTGTATTCCTAAGGGCAGGGCTTTGGACACTTTACTAATTCGTATTGGACAGCATTGTCTATTAAACGCTTTTTTACTTTTGTGAGGGTGACAAATCGTCATGCTCAACAAGCATCTCTGAAGGGTGATTTAGGTTATACTTGTGACTAGGTTATGTGCATCTTATAAAATGGCTCAGCATTGCACGCCACCAAGATTAATGAAAAGCACTCCTGCAGCGCTGATGAATTCAAAAGAGACAGACTCAAATACTGTCCCGACTGGATCCGAAGTCGTCTACCGGCAAGCCAGTGGGCGACCTGGTGGCCTTAATGAACAGTAATATTACTGTTCAGATGACGAGAATGTGTAATTCTGAACGCTGAGGGAATAACCAGTGCGTTAAAGACCTCTCGCAGAGTTGATTTAACATTAACCCATCGTGGGACGCAATTTTTCGTTACTTTAAAACCCCACTCTGGCTGTTGTCGGGGGCCCTAAAATAACCTAACGGTTGAACAGGGGTTTTGTGACTTGTACCCGGGTAATTCTCATCTGATTGGTGGCACTTTTTGTCACCGGGTGTTTATCTCTCCTTGTGCGGTCTTGTTGGAGTTGAAAACTTTTTTCATCAAGCATTAACATTTGAAATCAAGGGCCGTAACGATTGCAGACTCCTTCAGGAGGGCCGCAACCAGGGGAGCTCAATCACGCCGAGCTTCACCTTCGACCTACATTGTTTCAATTGCCGACACCCCTGGACTCCTTGGTGATCACATGCTGGGGAGGATACAACAAAGAATGGCCTTAAACTACAACAATTGTTATATTAAATGTTTTAAATGACGTTTGTAAGCTCAGTGCACGTTCACAGGTGCCCAGCCTCCCTCAACAGGTGAAGAGGGTATGCATGTTAATCGTTACGCAAGACACTATTGTGTCAGCGACTGCACCGACATACTAAGTGATCCTTCCTACAAGTGCCATATTTTATTTAAAATATAGCTGTGTGATGGTGGAAGAGGTAGTCACTTACTGACCGCAATACCTCCACTTTATAAATTATTTCCACTACAGGTGCTTTCCACGCTAGCATATTTGCTAGAATTAATTATGCAACGCCAAAACATATTGCCGGGAAGGCTCATTTGGTCTAGTCCATGTTTACATCATCATCATCATTGTCCCGTTGTACCATTCTATGTCTTATGAGGCTCACAGTCTATTCCTCCTTTCTGTTCTATCCTGTGTAATCCTTTGGACATCATAGATGAAATTCATTCTGGCATTTTTGATCTCTCTCGTCAACGTTGCTGGGGGAGGGGGGGGGGGTCTTTTTGGACGTCCTGTATTTCTTCTCGCGTGGATTTTTATCGTGGTATGGGATGTCGCAGGTCGACCCAGTCTCAAATGGGTACCAGGATGGCTGTCCTGGGGAAGTAAAGACAGCCGGCGTAATGCTGACTACATTACCCATCCAGTGCCGATTGGTCTGTAAAAATATGGGACGCTCTGCCCATATACCCGATGCGCCTTAGGCATAATAAGGGATCTTTACTTTTTTTACTTTACTTTACTATTTCTTCTCAGGATGTCCAATACAGCACGATATTTGTTCTATAACTGTTGTTACCATTAGTTTCCCAGACATTTCTGTTATTTCTTCGTCCTCTTGAATTCATCCATATTTACACAGAGCACTATATGTTACAGAAGTTTGATTCGTTTTATAAGAATTGTTAAGACAATGAAAAATCTGTCACTTTTCTATTTAACACTAGTGTAGTGTAAATGCCATCGGCTCCAAGGGGGACACAATTATATGACTAACCTTATTACAGAAAGACATCTATAAGATCGCTATGATCACACGCCAGTTTTTCAGAATTTAGGATGAATCCAAACCCAAACACTGTTTTCAGTACTTTTGGCAAGGCAAAATACTCAAAATTTAAAAAAAACTATAAATGGTGGTCCGAAAGGGCGCTATGTAAACAATGGTTGCGAACTAGCTTGTCTACTACGAAATACGCCTGGATAAGCTAGAAGGGACCAGATATGGCAACAAACTGGAGGACACCAGGACAAAATAATGAAGATGACTCAAGGGGAAAACGGCAGAAGAACACATTGGGACACACAGAGGAAGGAGCAGTGTAGATATTATGATAAGAAAATCAAGACACAGAGCTGGCGCACATACTTCATTTCTAGCCACGCAAGAGGCGCAAATACCTACAATGGTAACAAGCATTTTATGGGAAGTAAAGGCGACCGGTGTGATGTTGACCCTAATCACAATCACCTATTATGTGCGGATTGGTCTTTTTTTTTTTTTAATATCCAGAAACCATGAGTTGTTAACCCTTTGGCTCGGTACTATTGATATCGCAACCCTTCGGCCTAGATTCCATGATAGGTACCGTAAATCTGGAAGGAAATGTGGCTTTTCTGTCTACCCCCGGGAGTGAAACCGGACCACAAGAAGTTCGTCACCGGGTCACCGCGCAGTTCGGTTTAGCCAGCTACGCTAGAGAGCCGGGCAGAGATTGGTCTATAAAACATGCGTCTAACATCTGGCGGGAAAAAGGTCCTTTACTTTACTAATCTACAACAGGCAACGGAACATACATTTAATGATAAGTCAATCTGTACAGTATATAGTTTTTCTCAGTTATCATTTCTCTACACTCAACTGCATATGGTTACGTCTAACTCCGCCCAGTCTCCATGACAGTTTTTTTAATACTAAAAACTGGCTTGTAACACGTTTCATAACCATACCGGGCTAGACCAAATATTGTACATATGTAATATAATTTACGCCAGAAACATAACGGCGACGCGTATGCTAGCGTTATTACATGCGATAACTGCATACGCATAGCGGCAAATTATATTCCAGTGGTGTTATTATATACTTATTAAATCTTTTTACAAATGTTGGAAATTAATATCATAGTGTTTGTGCCTTATTACATTTGTTCAGAGTTCATATTATGCTGTGTCACATATGTTTAATCTAGATGTTGCAAGCAGTGTCAGATATGTTCAGAGCTAGCTAATCACTTTTGTTCAGTACTAGCTGTGACTTGTTCAGAACTAGGTCTGTCACATTTCTTCAGAGATAGGTGTATCACATTTGTTCAGAGCTAACTGTATCACATTTGTTTAGCCCAAGCTGTATCACACTTGTTTACAACTAGCTGTATCACATTTGTTCAGAATTTAGCTGTATCCCATTTGTTTAGCATAAGCTGTATCACATTTGTTCAGCAATAACTGTATCACACTTGTTTAGCACAACCTGTATCACATTTGTTCAGAAATAGCTGTATCACATTTGTTTAGCACAAGCTGTATCCCATTTGTTTAGCACAAGCTGTATCACATTTGTTTAGCACAAGCTGTATCACATTAGTTTAGCACAAGCTGTATCACATTTGTTTAGCACAAGCTGTATCACATTTGTTTATTACAATCTGTATCACATTTGTTTAGCACAAGCTGTATCACATTTGTTAAGCACAAGCTGTATCACATTTGTTTAGCACAAGCTGTATCACATTTGTTAAGCACAAGCTGTATCACATTTGTTTAGCACAAGCTGTATCACATTTGTTAAGCACAAGCTGTATCACATTTGTTCAGAAATAGCCGTATCACATTTGTAAAGGACTAGGTAAATCACATTCTTTCAGAACTAGCTGTATAACATTTGTTCAGAAATAGCTGTGTCATATTAGTTCTTAACTAGCTGTATCACATTAGTTCAAAATTAGCTGCATCATATTTGTTCGGAGCTGATTCAGCAGCTGTATCACATATCACAGAAATCCATATTATTACAAATGGTCATACATTGGTTACTTAACACTGGAGCCTGGTCATGTTTGTTGAGAAATGTCGCAAACCACCTGTTTTATATTCTAGTAGCTTGCTCAGATTTATCAAGAGCTGTCGAATAAAGTCTTTATCATATTCTAGAATTTACAC